TTTTTTTTAGTGAAGTCACTTTTTTAGTCACCTTCTTAATTTCTATCGCTTTTTTTTTTATTGACAAACATCAATTTTTAATAAAAGTGACGGTGTATGTCATTTTTTAATTATAAAAAAAAAAAGTGAAATTTAAATTTTAAAAGTTGCATTGTGTAACTTTTTTTTATTAAAAAGTGTCATTTTTTATAAAAAAAAAAAAGTGACATTGCGTCACTTTTTTAATATTATACAGTATTTTTTACTTTCAAAATTTTTTTCATATGATTTTTCAAAAGACACCTAATTTTAAGGGTATTTGTGTAAGTTTCTCGAAAGTTTATGGCTCAGTTTTAAACTAAACGGATTGGTACATGGGAACAATACATGGTTCCTACATTTCAAAATTACCAAACTTGTTAAATTATTTCAAAAATTAGGTGTTAATTTTAATTAATAATTTATTACTTAATTTAGTGCACATTTTCCACGTCATTAAAATGAGAAAATTGGGGCCCACATGTGAGGCAAAGTCAAAAATGACGGTTAGACTTCAAAAATAATATATAATTAATTAAAATTAATTGTCCCCATCCCCACCCGGGCCACCCCACGCTACCCTATCCTACTCTACACTACACTACACAAAAAATGTCCAGAAATTAAAAAAAGAAAAGCAAGCCCCCCGATCCACCCCACCCTCAAAAAAGTTTCAGAAAATTAAAATTGGAAATCACACCCCCCACCCCATGGATTCACATACCCCACCCTCACTCTTACCTTCACCTCTCAAAAAATTTTAAAAAATTAAAAATTGGAGATTACACTCGTTCCCACCCCCATTTTAGAAAATTTTCAACTGTAGCCAAATTTGTGTTCAATGTGACTAATTGTGACCAAATTTGTATTCAATGTGATTAATTGTGACCAATTGAATCATAATTGTGACCATTTGTGATCAGGTCACAATCGGTCACAATTAACAATGTTAACAAGTCATCCCACCCCTCACCCCTACCTTCACCTCCCAAAAAATTTTCAAAAATCAAAAATTGGAGATTACACTCGTTCCCACCCCCATTTTAGAAAATTTTCAACTGTGGCCAAATGTGTATTCATTGTGACTAATTGTGATCAAATTTGTATTCAATGTGATTAATTGTGACTAGTTGAATCTTAACTGTGACCATTTGTGATCAGGTCACAATCGGTCACAATTAACAAGTCACAATCGATCACAATGACTCACAATTAACACAGAATTGGTCACAATGAATCACAATCGATCATAATTAATACAGAATTGGCCACAATCAGTCACTATAAACACATATTTGGTCACAAGTTATAAAATCTATCCCCTTATTTTTGAGTTGTAATCTTGAAAAGAAAAATTGATGATGAATGTTTGTCATGGCTATAGAGACTTCAAAGTAGAGACACTGGTGCATTTGGAATACATTCAATAAGACCACCAGAAATTTAAGTTAGTATTATGAATCTCATGTTAAATAATTTCACTTGATCAACAAATGCACCTCGGGCGCACTAGTGTCATCCAATCCAAGCGACAAAAATAAAAAAAGATAACAAAAACTGCTCAAAGTAAACTGTTTTTATAATGCATCCAAAACTGTTTCATATCCATAAATCTCAAATCCCAGCACAAATATTGAATTCAATCACCAATGAGCAACATGCAATAGCATTGGAAATAAAATCCAAGCACCAATAACCAAGTCAAAAACCACAGTATCATTTTGTTAACATCTAATGTCTAGTAAACTAAAATATGTAGGAAAGTGAAATGTATATCCCAATTGCCAATGTTCAAAAGTTTGTCCAACAGGCACAACCATCATTTTGAATCACCTTCACCTACAATAGTGATAACTTTAATAATCATATTTCATTAAAAAGCTACAGTCAAGTGCGGTGAAAAAAAAAAATTACCTTAAGCATGAATTATTTATTCTTGATGCTGGAATTTTCATCCTTTTTCCTTGCTTACGAAAGTTCTAAAAAAATAAAATGATTTCATTAATAATGAATTGACTCTGAACAAAAAAACAAAAGAAGATGAATTAATTATCAGCATTCGATCCACATTCACCACATGATCGAAAAGCCCACTGTCTTCCGCGCTCACTAAGGTATAACTTTGGTTGTATTATAGCGTGCATATCTAAATTTCTAGTTCAAATCTCACCAAAGTAGTCATTTAAGATGAGGGAACTAGTGACAGACTGACACATTAAGATTAAGCAGATTAAGTAAATCAAATTTATCCACAACCTGAATCCGACGAGTTGGGGAGTCTGGAAATGGAACGGGAAGGCTTAGGCAACAGAGGATGGAAACTGGTGATTCTTAGACACGTAGAGGCGGTCGAGATTTTAGGCATAGCAGCGATCAGATTGTAGAGTTGATAATAAGAAATGGAACTTGGAAGCAACTTGTTTGGGCAGTTTATCGACTTTTTTGCCCAGGCCAACAGCAACAATCGGCATAGCGTGGCTGTGGAGATCAACGCTGCTGCCGTCTTCTCTGTTGCTGTCTTTCGACGGGTAGAGAGAATGGGTTATGGATGAATTGGGAATTTTTGGGGGATGGATGAATTGGGAATTTGGGGGTATGGTTGGGTTGGGTTGCATAGGTTTAATTAAATTTTAATAATTATAATTATCATCTGAATTTTAAAAGGTAAACTTTATGACCTTATTATTGAATTGTAATCTTAAAAAGAAGGGTTTTAGGTAATTTTCTCCATAATAATTGAAGTTGAATTTACTATGTAAAATGACAAAACTAGACCACTTTACCATTAGCACCGTTTTTATTATTAGAGAAAGAAAATGGAACACTTGAGAATTTCAATTGGTATTAGAGTCGTCATAAGTCTTACATTACCTATTTATAAAAATTATGCGTACATGAGGTTTTTGATTTAAAAAAATAAATCGATTTACATGTTATTTAGACGAAGTAGTTAAATAGATATGTACACACATTTAAATAATTTATATCTTCTTTTCTCTTGAAGAAATTTTTTTATTTAAATTTTGCAGTCAGCTTGAGTCGAGTTTAATAACTATGTTCAATTGAAAAGATAAAACGAGTGTCTTCTTTAATAAAGAAAGTACTCATTAATAATTGTAGCATATTTTGAGTTAATTTTATTGTTGAATATTAATTGATGTTTGTTTTGCTTTAAATCAGGCCTCTTGAGAGAAATAAAGAAAAAAAAGGGACTAAAATACAATTTACATTCAATGGAGACTCCATGGCGAGATTTGGAAAAACATGGAAACAATATGATGCACAAGCTGATTGAAGAAGTATACTTAAATAATTTTTTGATATTAGGGATGACATCAGAATGGGGCTGGGGAAGCTATCTACGTCCCTCATCGGAAATTTTGGGAGGTGGAATGGAGAGTAAAATATCTTTATTTATCATTTATTTAATGTTAATAAAAATAAATAAAAAGATTTAAGGTGCGTTTGAGGAATTTGGGGGAGTATGTTCCCCGTCCCCGTCCTGATTTCCCGATGAGGCGGGGTCCATTTCGCGGTGGAGAAATATGGATGGCTGGAGAAAGTATTTTTTTCTCTCTATTTGACATGTTAATTACTATACGATTACTTGTTGAAGCAAACTATGGAGTTCTCTCACTACATTTGTAAAGTTTTTGCAGTTAACCTTGTGCAACTATGTCATTTAAAGTATTAAAATAATTTGATTAAATTTAAATTTAATTTATTAAAACATTGTTCAAATTTATACCAAATATTTCGGAATGTTGTATTATATTAGAACAATCAAGATTTCAGCTTGTGTTTGATGGTCCTTCTTTGGCATTCAATTGTACAACTTGCACACTAATGTGATGAGACTAAAAAAGGAAGCAAAGGACTCACAATTATTGTACAAAACATTGTTTAACTACAAAAGAAAGGCTGTCAAACAAGTGCTTATTAATGAAAATTGTGAAGGTGTCAGGTCTTTAATAAAGAAATAAACTACTAAACACGCTTACTTAGCATAAGTTATGATATGTACATCATTTCCCTTTAAATAAATTGGGGCATAGTCGAACATGTTACAGTAAGTTTGACAGTCCTCTCACATGGGTGTGGGGCTCGCGATTGTGGGCCCCACCCCCATGTGAGAGGACTGTCAAAATGTGTGCGTAAAAAGGCTGTAAATGTAGCATTTCTCTATAAATTTATCCTTATTTTTGTAAATGCATTTTCAAAAATACCAGATCAAACACATTTTCAATATTTTACAAAACTAAAAACGACAAACCAAACGCACCCTAACTAGGTTGGGACTTTCGTTTCTATATCAAAATTAAATGTAAATCACATATTAAATGTAAATTAAACTTAATTTTAAACTATCATCAAATTTTAATTTTAATTTCCAACACCAATTTATCACAAATCACGTACATACTCCACAAACCAAAAATTCCCCCATTATAATTTCACGCCTCTCCCTTTCACTCTGCACATAATTATTTTGAGACAAAATTTCACCTAAAATCTGATTAAGGGATCTTAATTTAACACTAACTATTTCATTTATTTTTTATTTTAACATCTTTGAAAAATAAAATATTTAAACAGTTAAAAATAATTAAATATAATAGTTTCGCACCCCCTCGTGCTCCTCTTAACATACGGTACACAAGATAGAGAGAGAGAGAGAGAAACAGAGCACAAACATTATTCATATATGACATATCCATGTAGATTCGAAACAAATACAAAAAGAAGAAAAAAGGCTCACACACAGAGCAGCGGTAGGCCGGCAGAGAGCACATGTCGACATCGGCCGGCAGGCGACAACAAGCAAGTCACCACTCCAACTCAGTCACTCGGCGTCAGGCCGCGCGGAAAATAGAGTTTGGTTTGCGATCAATTTTGCTAGCAGTGTGCTTGCAATCAGTTTTGCTTAAGTCTTAAGAGGCAAATGAGCTATGTATAATATTAATGAGCCTATTTTTTAAAAACTTTTTTGGCCCAGTAATGGCGAATGCTGCCCGTCTTCAAGCTTCCAGTCTTCTGCCGCCTGCAATAATGGCGACTGATTTCCATCCCAATCTATAAATTTCAACGGAGCCAACACGGACGACAGCGCCACCTCGTCTAAGTGCTTGCTCTGCCCGTGGACGGTGGATCCACTAATTAAGTGAGACCCACACATGTGAAAAAGTAAAACACATGTTAATTCAATAGTGCAAGGAGCACTAATTTCCATAATCATTTATCACTACAATCAGTTAATATGCGGTCTTGGACGTTAAATGAGCTGCGGGTCATCAAACTCTGACCAAAGTTGCATTTTGGCTCACTAATCTTGTGTTTGGTGTAATCATGCATGTTACCCAATTTTGTCTATTGTCTCAAGTTTAACTAAAGTACTAGGATGACTTGAACATTAAAATTATAAGATAGCTGACATTTAAAACAAGCTTTTATTTCACGTTTTTTTGGCAGTGGACAAAATGATCACATTTGCTAGCAAATCGAGGTTGGATGATATGTTTGTACCAAATTGAAGACAAGTGACCGATGTGTAAGTAAATTGAAATTGAGTGATCTAACTGCATCAAATTGACTATTAGTAATTCTGATTCAACTCCTAACATATATGCATTTTTTCGTGGGCTGTGACTTGTAATTGTCCTATTAATGTCTTGCAACTGCCCCCTATACTACCCACCTACTCCCGAAGTGATGCAAGAACGTATATACATAAGCAGATTAATCATATCCAGAACGAGGTTCAAATTGTGGGTATCCATTAAATAGTTTTTTAGAGGCCGCCATTATTGCTGTAAGTTAGCCTTGCTAGTTAGTCTTTAAAAATCGCCATTGCTGTGCATTTCTTGAACCTTTCTTTTTCAGCTCCCCACCCCCAGACAGTAATCCTTTTACTCCGCTTATAATCATTTTTAATTAAGCTTATATTTCCATTTAGATTATCAGTAAAATGTTGGTTTGGGTGCTGTGGAGATTGCTTAGTGCCGCACTTGCCGGAATTCTCCTTTTTACTGGCTTCTGTTTCTCTCAAACAGGTATCAATATATATGCACTTTCCACTCAGTAATTTTATGCAAGTATTCGCTTAGATTTTATCTTAAAAATAACATGAAATTAAGATTTTTTATTCTTAAATATTTTGTTATACTCTTCCAATGATCATTAAAGTTTGGAACTGCAAAAACTGTATTACATTGTTCACTAACATTTTCGTTGCCCAAGACGAGGAAAGTCAACTCTATTGTTTTTATATTTTAGATCTTTAGTTATGGCTCAACATGGTTCGGTTCGGTTTTGTTTTAAAGAGAATCGAACAAATCCCGAATTTTCGGGTATTTAGTAAATGGAACCGTCGGATCCAAATTTAGTTATGAAACTGTTCGGGATCGGTTCGATTCTTGGATTCCGTACAATAATTAATTTGAACTAAACATATTGGTTCTCGATTTAAATACCCGTTTGAGTATTTAACTTTAAAAAAAAACGCTTGATTCAGGTCCGATTTAATCCAATTAGGTTCGAAAGTTTTGTCCAACCCTACCTTTAGTTGGAGGTTAGACTGCGACCCCAACCTAAGTATATATTATATTTATTTTCGTTTTCAATAAAACATTCCACATTAATGGTTTTGTTAAGAAAGAACACATTTTTTTTTCCCTGAAAGCCATATCAAATTGCTACATGTTAGTGACAGAAACGTATAAATCGATGCCAATAAATCAACATTAATTTGCATTAATTGGAAGTAGTTGTCTACTTCTCTTGAATAAATTATGCTTACATATACAAGTCCATATATTTATGATCCACCGCTGTCGTGCAATAAATTCAGCTCAACTACTGCTTGTTGAAATAAAGCCAGTAATTATTTTTTCAACTTTTAATTGATTAATTGAGCTCTCTTTGATTACTTTCGCGGTTTTGCCGGTTCCGTTTATCGTATACTCGGTACAGTATATTAACAAATTTATATTGGCAGCAACAAACTACAGTTTCATGCACCAAGCAACATCAGCCCCAGCAGTGTCATATTTTGACTACATCATAATAGGCGGCGGCACGGCCGGCTGCCCGTTGGCCGCCACTCTATCCCAGAACGCCACCGTGCTCCTCCTCGAACGTGGTGGCTCTCCCTATGGCAACCCTAACATCACCAACCTAGGTGCATTTGGAAAAGCTCTCGCCGACCTCTCGCATTCGTCCCCTTCCCAACGCTTCATCTCGGAGGATGGGGTGATAAGTGCCCGTGCACGAGTGCTGGGGGGCGGCAGTTGCCTCAATGCGGGGTTTTACTCGCGCGCTGCCCCTAGATATGTGAATGATGCCGGCTGGGAGGGACGGTTGGTGAATGAGTCTTATAGGTGGGTCGAAAAGAAGGTGGCGTTTGAGCCACCGATGAAGCAGTGGCAGAACGCCGTGAAGGATGGGTTGTTGGAGGTTGGTGTGCATCCTTACAATGGTTTTACGTATGATCACTTGCCCGGAACTAAGGTTGGTGGCACAATTTTTGATGTCAATGGTCACCGGCACACGGCAGCTGATCTTCTTCAGTATGCAAACCCTAGTGGCCTTACTCTGCTATTACATGCTTCTGTTCATAAAATCTTGTTCAGAGTTAAGGGTAAGTACTCATTTACTGACAAACATGTTTAGTATGGACAAGACTAAACGATATAATTAACTAAATTTTAACTTTATCATTTTCGGTATTGTACCGTCTACGTCAGCAAATATTCAGTGGATGCCTTCAGTCATCTATATTTTGAATTTTGATGCTGACTTCATAAGATGGGATAAACATACGAACAAACATCTCATATTTTTCTTATTCTTGCCGAATCTAACGTCTCAATTAATGCCATTCCCATCTTTCGTCTTTGAGTGCCTTTTATCAACCCAAGAGATTGCTTTTGATAAGGGATGATAACAGTGTTTCCTATATTTCTGCTCCAAACAGGCAAAAAGAGGCCAATGGCTCATGGAGTAGTATTCAGAGATGCATTAGGAAAAAAGCACAGAGCCTACTTGAAGACTGGGTCAAAGAATGAGGTAATATTATCAGCTGGGGCACTTGGAAGCCCACAAATGTTAATGTTGAGTGGGGTAGGCCCAGCAGATCACTTGAAAGCCCATAATATTAGAGTGATTTTTGATCAGCCCCTAGTGGGCCAAGGCATGTCAGACAACCCAATGAATGCCATTTTTGTACCGTCGCCAAATCCAGTAGAGGTGTCTCTGATTCAAGTGGTTGGTATAACCAACTTTGGAAGCTACATTGAAGCTGCCAGCGGTGAGAATTTCGCCGGTGGTGCTGACTTCGGGATGTTCTCCCCTAAGGTACATAGCACGAACTTCCTCTCGGGTGCAAACTTAAGTTGCATGGAATTTGAAAACAAGATGAGAAAATGTGACATAACATGATAAAAAAGCTTGACACAAATCACTAAATAAAACATTGAAGACTTGATGGATGCAGATCAACACTTTTGCTAGGAATAACACAAATAGTTTAAAATATTTTAACATAATTAACAAAAAATCTAAATAATTCATTAAATTTTTGGTAGAAAAGTGTAAGCCAACCGTATGGTATATTTTTAGTTAAAGCCACAAAGAAGAGAACAATTTCCTTCAAATTTCTTTGAACTTTAATTTTGGTGGAAGCAAATATCCCTACTAAGTTATAGTGGTTAAACTTATCTTTGTTTCTCTCGTTGACAAGAGGTCAAATTCCTTCAGAGCTTGTTTATAATTTTTTTTTTAAACATATAATTCTTTCAAGAACTTGTTTGCAGATTGGGCAGCTCTCCACTGTTCCACCTAAGCAAAGGACCCCAGAAGCCCTAGCCAAAGCTATAGAAGCCATGGAAGCACTTGAACCAGCAGTTTTAAGAGGTGGATTCATCTTAGAAAAAATCATGGGCCCTATATCCACAGGCCATTTAGAGCTCAGAACCAAAAACCCTAATGACAATCCATCAGTCACATTCAACTACTTCAAAGAACCAGAAGATTTACAAAGATGTGTGAATGGCCTCAAAATCATTGAAAATTTGATTGAATCAAAGGCATTTACTCAATTCAGATATGAGTATCTCTCAATGACTGTTCTTCTCAACATGACAGCCAATGCCCCTATCAACTTACTGCCAAAACACGCTAACGTTTCGACCTCGTTGGAACAGTTCTGTAAGGACACAGTGATGACAATTTGGCATTATCATGGGGGCTGTCAAGTTGGAAGAGTTGTTGATAGGGATTATAGGGTTCTTGGAGTGGATGCTTTGAGGGTTATTGATGGATCCACCTTTCATTACTCCCCTGGAACTAATCCTCAAGCCACTGTTATGATGCTGGGAAGGTAAGCACAGTAGATTATAATACTAAGAGGCTTTTTTAGAAAGTTTTTGATAAAAGTTGACGAATTGTGTAGTTGAAAAGTCGATAAAGCTGTAGATCTCACAAAATATGTGATTAAAATTGAAGTTTGACAAGTTGAAAAGTTGATAAAATTTTAACGAAGTTTTATCAAACAAACCCTAAAGAAGGAAAAAAAAAAATTAAAATCTTATTCATTCAGTAAAATTAAACATGCACTAAATGGATTGTTTTGCTTTGTTACAGGTACATGGGAGTAAAGATACTCAGGGAGAGATTTCAAGGCTAAAAAGCATGTTCATATACAACAAATGTACCCTAGTAGTTTTCAATTACTGGACTATTGAAGTATTTTATTTTAGCTTCTTTGTTTTCAATTAATAATTGTTTTGGGGCATCTATTTATAATAAATTTGTTGTGGCAAGTTTTCTTGCATTTTCGACTTCCTTGGCAGTACTTGCAATAAGGTCTACCGCGAAAATTTTGAAGAACCCGAGTTTTGATACCAAACTAATAAGGAGTGCTTGATTAGAAATATCGTGTGAAGAACAATTTTTCCCACATAAAATAGGCTTATCTAGAGAAACATAAGGTTGGCACGTCATAAAATCGTGACCAATTATATTAGATCATTTGCGGGACCTAATTTATTTTTCGGTTTTCAAGAAATATTTCATTGAAAAACAAATATATAATTGGTAATAGGGCTCCGTGTGCTTTTCTCCAATGTCACACTTCTTTATTTATTTTATCTCTTTTTTAAAAAAATAAAATGCACACAATGCCATTATTTTATAAATATAAGCCAATTCATACAGTCCCATGTTTCAAACCATGCTGGACCTAAAATTTATGAGGCTGCTTCAAGTGCGCATAGTCCAACCCATTTTTACACGTCTACTTCAACCCATTTAAATTGTAGCCACAAAAATCATTTTCCACCTTTATAATTAAATTTTTTTTTTTTTTTTGGAGAGATCACTTTCTTTAAGAACTGATTCAAAGTAAAAGGGTTGTCATCAACATTTTGTGTAGGAGACATTATTTTTCTAATCAATGAGCCTAACTGGGGCAGATTTTCTATGCCCCATATGTGCTGCAAATCATTAATACTTTTGACTCAAAAGTTCTGATATGCAGGGTAGTGTACAGTGCTGATCATGCCATAAAATTTTCTAATGTATCAAAGCTTCATCATTTTGTTTGGAAAAGTTTGTTCTAATTCTTGAATCCACTTGTCTAATTTGTTTTAATTTATTGAGATTTCTTTTAAGTGAATACTTTTAAGAACCAAAATATGTGTGCTCAAATGATTAATGTCAACTTGATTAAGTCGAGCTCAGAAACAGATTGAGAGTCGAGTCAAAGCTGAATTAAATCTAAATTTTGAAAAAAAAAAAAAAAAAAAAGGGCAAGTTCCACCATTTTTGAACTTGAACAAGAATATTTTAAAGAAAAAGCTTATCTAGAGAAGAGGCAATACATGTGACACGAAGTAATGGTAATTGTATTGTCAAATTAAAGAGACGTATCTGTCATCTACAACATTTGTCAAATGCTATAATATCTGCTTTTCTTTGTGGGGACTTGCAGCTGAAAATAACATCACCTCACAAATTCTCGAAACAACAATAAGGATTCATTTGATTGCAATGGTAAAANACAAATTCTCGAAACAACAATAAGGATTCATTTGATTGCAATGGTAAAAAATGGGTGAAAAAAAAATGAATTTTAGGGAAAATAATTGCCTAGAAATTATTTTGTAGGGAATTGTTAATTAAGTGTGTTTGATTGATATAATTTTTCACCCGAAAAATTTTTAAATTTTGTGTTCCTTTGGTCTTCGTTTGCATCAAAATTGTCCATTAAAGTGATAATTTTTTCCACACTTATTTATAAAATTTGTTTCCATTACCAAAAAAAAAAAAAATGTTTGTCAAATTAAAGAGACATATCTGTCATCTACAACATTTGTCAAATGCTATAATATCTGCTTTTCTTTGTGGGCACATGCAGCTGAAAATAACACCTCCTCACAAATTCTGGAAACAACAATAAGGGAGTGTTCGGTAGTACTTAACATTCAATTAAAATTGAAAATATAGCCATTATTAGGTCTCACTCGTCTAATAAAAGTCAACAATAACAGTTAATTTTTCAATTTCAATCCGATTTTAATCTCTATCGAACACGTCCTAAATGTCATCTCCTTACATTAACTATCAAGAAAGAAAAAAATTTGTACACTTAAAAAATTACTTATAAATAAGTTTATAATACATAATTTTTTTTATTAATGAAGTTATAGTTAATAGAAGGGTAAATAGCACATAACATCCTCAACTTTCATTATTATTGTGAAAATGTTCATACATTTCATTTTTTTGCATTTTCACCCTTATTTTTACATTTCATTGAGCAAAAAATCATTTTCATCTATTTTCTCTTAAAAATCGTGAAATGATGAATATACTCTTTCCTTCTCTTTAATTAAAACAAAAAGAAAAAATTAATTGCAATCATAGTCCCAATTTTTTTAAAAAAAGTGCAAATGAGCCCCAAATTATTAAAATGATAATTAGTACATAATGTCCCTCTCTTTCACCGTTATTACGAAAAAGTCTCTATCTTTCATTTTTTTGACATTTTCACTCTTAATTACACATTTGATTGTGCAAACCATCATTTCCATCTAATTTCTCGTTAAAGAGCTAGGAAATAATAAATATACCCTCCTATTTAAATAATTTTTTTAAAAAAAATTCTAATTCTTTAATAATTTATTTGGGATTCGTTTTCACTTTTTTTAAAAAAATATTTTTTAAAATTATTTATTGGAGACTCGTTTGCACTTTCTAAAAAAATTTGGGACTATGACTATAATTAATTCTTTAGCTTTTTTATTTAAATAGGAGGGCATGTTCGTCATTTCACAAGTTTTATTAAGAAATTGGATGAAAATGGATAGAAATGATGGCTTGTGCAATGAAATGTGTAATTAAGAGTAAAAATGCCCAAAAAAAAAAGGTTGTGTCGTTTTTTGCAATAATAGTGAAAGTTATGGATATTATGTGCTAATTACCCTTTTAATAATTTATTTGGGACTCATTGCGCTTTTCGAAAAAATTTGGAACTATGGTTGCAATTAGTTTTTTTCTTTTGTTTTATTTAAAGAGAATGGTATATTCGTCATTTCACGATTTTTAATTGAGAAAGTGGATGAAAATGACCTTTTGCGCAATGAAATGTGAAAATAATGGTGAAAATGCCAAAAATGAAAGGTAAGAACGTTTTCCACAATAACAATGGACGTTATGTGCTAATTATTCTTAATAGAATGGGTTACTTTAAATGTAAGCTGTCAAACTCAAGCCATGTTTAAAGAGCGTTAATTGCATATGCAGTCATTTAACTTTTACAGAAATCTCATTTCTATCACTAAATTTTTGGGGTCACTGAAGTACATTTTAGAGAGTCTCAAAATGTATTCTACTGGTTGCAATGTATGTCACATTTAAGTAGAGGATTTTGTGTCGACATGGCATTGATGTTAATTAAGAGATGGTCAATTCTAAAATTGATCTCCAATAGGTTGCATCTGTATTCTAATATTTTCACATATATGTCGTTTATAAAATTTTAAATAAAGATAATAAAATAGAGTGGAAAAGAGAGAAAATTTATTACTCTAAAAAAAAAAAAAAGAATCAATTAAATTGTTGAGTCGACATGTCTAACATGACCTCTACGTCTAGACATTATCTATATTTTTGTCTGTAATATCAATTGACAGAGTCCTTATCAGCTTGCATTAAAGAGTTTTTTTAAAAGGTCGTTTATTTTTTTGTTTATGTGGTCATTTTTATAAAGTAGCCATCGTGCTCTAAAGTCATTCCAAAGAAGGTACTGACCACAGGAATGATGCCGGCCACATAATAACCTCTATTTGCTCTTTTGTGTTTGTTTTTTTGGATCTTATGGAATAAGCCAAACCATATTGTACTCAACACATTTGTGCCTTTTTATCTTCCATTTAGTACAAATATTAGTGGACTAAATGAAGTCATAATGTCTATTTCATGCAAGGAAAAAAGGAAGGCATAACATAATGTTGTCGTCAAGGGTAGGGGTCCTTGTTTAGCATTTGATTCTTAGCAAATTGTCTCGAGCTTTGTTGGCATCAATTGTGACTGTGTGGCTCGTGACATGTTTGATATATGATATTAAAGGATTGAAGAGAGTAATGAATGAGATTCCATTTTCTTCTTAAGGGTATTGTACCGTAAATGTTTTTAATGTATTGTATTAATATTTGGATTGAACGCCTTATTTCGAGAGCAATAATGAACAAAAGAGAAATTTGGAAACCTATTTAAGAAAACATATAGATTAGAGTTGTTCAATTTCGACAATTGGTGAAATATTTTAGTGGGCGGTCCTTTCAATGGGGGCAGTCCTATATGCACACGTCGTAATACTATTCAATCAAATTGTTTCTTGAGTGGTTCAAGATCCGTAGTCTTATGATTAAAATGGACGGTAGTATCCCACGTACATATAATATCCCTCCACTAAAATATTTCTCCAATGAGAAGTCTAGCTTGACTTTGCTGTAAATTCTACAATGAAGGAAATTACAAGATTTTTTCATATTCTATCATCTACACGTAAGCCGACGCATCATCCTCCCAAAAGGAAGGAAAAATTCATATATGGTAACAGTGATTGATCAAATACGCAGAATCTACACAAAAATATAAAATATAAAAAGGAACGTAGAACACGCTAAGATTTATGAATGACTTGGTCAATCTTAGTTCCCCATCAGACAACCTGTCTAAAGCTCAGTATATGAAACTTCAATCTACAAGGCAGGTTGCAAAATGGATTAAAACTAGGATTATTCGAGTTGAACCCAACAAAGGATTATGAGTGAGGACAAAACTAGAAAGAAAAATGGAATCAAATTGCATCAGAGAAGCATCAAAATCCTGTTTCAATAATTGTTGCCCAAATCCTTTGCTTGGCTTGCCAGATACTCGTGATAAGGCAACGAGCACTGGTATCGGTCCTCGACGTGATTTTACAACTGCCATACTTGCCTCGATTCCATCAACTGGGAATTTTACTAATCCCGAGTCCCTTCCTTCGTCGACAGAATTGTTTTCTTGCCTTGAAAATGCATGTTCACACTACTCGACTACCGTTCTTGCTGATAATATTCGAGCAAAAGAATACAACCATCTCTTGGTCTCGAATCATGTGTGCCTTGATTACATAGGCCATGGTCTTTTCTCCTACTCCCAGCAGCAGGGACATAATCTCACGACTGAAATTGCCTCTTCTTCGACATCTACCCATCCAAGACCTTCACACTCGCCCTTCTTTGACATTTCATACAAGTCGGTGAATTTGAACTCTTTCTTGTTATATGGTGGTCAAGAATCGGAATTCGAATCCTCAATACGAAAAAGAATCATGAAATTCATGAATGTCTCAGAAGAGGACTATTACATGGTTTTCACAGCCAACCAGTCATCTGCATTTAAGCTACTAGCAGACTCTTATCCTTTTCAATCTAATCCGAACCTTCTTACAGTATATGATTACGAGAATGAGGCAGTGCAAGTGATGGTCGAGAGCTCTAAGAAAAAAGGCGCACGACCAATGTCAGCAGTATTCTCATGGCCTAAATTGAGGGTCAATTCAAGGAAGCTGAGAAAACTGGTTGTGAACAAGAGTAAGCAAAGGAATCGAGGCTTGTTTGTTTTTCCTCTTCAGTCGAGGATAACTGGAGCGCGATATTCTTATCAATGGATGAGCCTGGCAAGGGAAAATGGATGGCATATTTTGCTGGACGCCTGTGCCTTAGGAGCGAAGGACATGGAAACATTAGGACTCTCTCTATTCCAACCTGACTTTCTCATTTGCTCCTTTTTTAAAGTTTTCGGGGAAAATCCATCCGGATTTTGCTGCCTGTTTGTTAAGAAATCCAGTGTCTCAGAGTTATGCAAATCGTCCACAAGCATAGGGATCGTCAGCCTATTGCCAGCAAATGAACCATTTGAAGACTTTGCCTTTGCCAGGGCAGAAACCGAAAAAGAAACATCAATATCACAGCAAGAAATCGGAGAAACTCCCGAACAAGGTCACATGAAGCTGAAAGAACCTTCAGTTTCTGAAATCGTGGAATTGGATGAAACCCCTGAAACAACACAATCAAAAAACCGCGAATGTAGCACCTCAGGAGGAATCGAATGCCGGGGTTTGGATCATGCAGATACCCTAGGCCTAATACTGATCAGTAGGAGAACAAGATGCCTAGTAAACTGGCTGGTGAACGCATTAATGTCTCTTCAGCACCCTCATTCAGAAAATGGGCTCCCCCCTGTCAGAATCTACGGGCCAAAAATAAAGTTAGACAGAGGGCCAGCAGTTGCATTCAATGTATATGACTGGAAAGGAGAAAAAATTGATCCCATTCTTGTACAAAAACTAGCTGATCGAAACAACATTTCTGTTGGTAGCGGCATTTTAACAAACATCTGGTTCGCAGAAATTTACGAAGAAGAAAAGCATAGAATAATGGCTACAAGAAGTACAAAGGAGGAATCTAAGAAGAAATACAAGGATTTACCTGGGATTTCTGTGGTGACGATTTCAATTGGGATGTTAACGAACTTTGAGGACATGTACAGAATCTGGGCATTTGTTTCGAGGTTTCTTGATGCAGATTTTGTGGAGAAAGAACGATGGAGATACACTGCTTTGAATCAAACAATTGTTGAGGTATAAATATTGATTCTTTAATTTTTTTGGGGATTTTAAGTTCAATTATGCTAGTTTTAAGTTTATGTGATTTCTTCAAATTCCCAGTTCATTGAATCGAATGCACATCATCAATTGAATTGCTTAGAGGGTTAGCATCAAAAATCGTAGCTGAAGTTTGTTAAAAATTTCAAAGCATTTTTCATACAATAATAATAATAATTACTCCCATTTTTATCAACGCTCAACTGCTCCCGTTCCCGTTCGACCCTCGTTATTTTGCCCAAAATATATTTATAGTGTGTGGTTAAAAAATAAAAAAAATTTTGAATTTACGTGTAATATTATTTTATTGTACGATAAATTAACCTAAAGCCATATTTATTACTGTTATATTCAACAGACCAAACGGCATTAATAAGTGCTTATTACGATGTATGAAATTCAAAAAAATCATAAAATATATCTATCTTTTAATAGAGTTCCGACCAATAATAGACTCAACATTAAAAGACAGAAGACATCATAGTTGAAACTAAAACTAGATTTCCGTAACTAATTGAATTTAAAGATATCACAGAGAATAAGGAAAGAGACGAGCCGATAACTTCGCTTAAAACTAAAATTATAAACTTTCATATTGTCTACTTTTTCGTCTTTCTTCTTCTCCAAAGCCATTTTCAGAATCTCGCTCAATATTTCGTAAGGGTTGTTTCACTGAAGTTGCAAATGAAGCGAACGTGCTGTAGGGTGGGGAGACTAGTGACTATCACTAGTTAATTGTGTGATTTGTGACTAATAAATAATTTATGATCTATTAATTATGTAATTTGCGGCTTAATATGTAATTGTGACTCATAAATTGTGAGGTATGTGATTGTGACTTTGTACAATTTATGATTTAGAGCATGACTTTAATCCATAAATTGTGTGGCATTGTGACTCATAAATTGTGAGGTTTGTGATTGTGACTTTGTACAATTTATGATTTAGCGCATGACTTTAATCCTGTGGCATTGTGACTCTACCTGTTTAATTTTAATTGTAGGTCACAATATTAATTAGAGGTCACAAATGTGAGTACCTTATTTTTGAATTTTTTTCACAAGTTTGTTAAATTTAAAATTATATTCTTAAATATTTGTAGTAATGAAATTTTCCCTTAAATCAATTTGAGACTTTTAATGACTTTTTGAGATTTCAAAAGTTTAGGGTATTCAATGTAAATTTTTGAAAATTCTCTAAAAGTATTGGTGTATTCAATTGAGACTTTTAAAAAAGTTTTTAAAAATTACACTGTATTTAATTAAAAAATTTTAAGTCTCTATAAATTTTGGAGTATTCAAATTTTAACGGCTTTTAGAGACTTTTATAAAAGTCTCCGTCGTACTAACTTTTAAGCATGAAGTCCTAAAATAAAATTTCAAAATTTGTTTCTCATTAATCACAAGATTTTGGGAAACTTTCACACACAAAAAAAATTAAAAAAATTAAAAAAATTAATATGTATTATTATTTTTTCAATATTTCCCTGTCCTTTTCCTTAGAAGAACATTAGAGTTATAATTAAAATTTATTCTTTTTTTTATTAATTATATTAGTTTCTACTTTCCTTTTTCTCCCTCTTATTATTTATGTCTATTTTCTACAAAAAATTTCTTTTTTCTTTCTTTTTTGTGAAAAATATATATTTTTAATTAAATTATAAAATTTTATTTAGACAAATTTATAATTAAAATTAAGTATGTATTTTTTTATTTATTCTCTAAAGATATATTATATTAATAATATCGAATATTAAATTTATTTTTATATGTATAATTATTATTATTTAATTAATTAAGGTCTTAAAATTTTATTTTTTAATTTTTTTTCAATTATATAGGTTAGGTTAGGGAAGGGAAGGGAATTGAGAAGGAGAATTGTGAGAACCACCACCTCATATGTTATAATTTCACACTCTTACATTAGATCTATATGAATTTTATTTTAAATGAAAGTTTTCAAAAAAAATTTGAATTCTACAAAATTTTTTAGAATAAAAGTCTACAAAAAATCTTCCACTAATTCCATACAAATTTCTAAAAAAATCCACGAAATCTATAGAATTCAACACTTACAAAATGTATATCAAAACTTTCAAAAGTTTCAATTGAATACATATTATAATTGATTTTCACATGGAAAGGCAAATAGGCTTAACTGAGATACTAAGCCCAATCATTAGTCCATATTATAATTGGACCTTATAAAATATTGACCCAAAAATAATGGAAAATTGTAAAAAATCAGGTGTTTAAAGATTGGTTTTTAAAAATCGGGTCTATAATTTATTTATTCAAAAATCCTGACTATATTAAAACCCTAATTCATAACCTAATATGTCTCTCTCTCTCTCTCTCTCTCTCTCTCTCACCAAATCAGATCGAAAAACCCTAATTCATAACCTAATTTATCTCTCTCTCTCTCTCCCCCTCTCTTCCATCATCTTGCATTCTCCCTCCTTCCCATACCCTTCTTTCCCTCGCCTTTCTCTGCGTTCGGCAGCAGCGTCGTCGATGACGCTGCTCAGTTCACGGCAACGTCGCGACGCTGCCGTTTGCACAATAGCATCGCAACGTTGTTCGCGTAGCAGAGTCAATGCTGCAGCGAACTGCAGCAGCGTGTCGACGTGAAAGGCGGCGTGGTGCTGTTTTGATGGTGTTTTGTGCACAACAACATGGTTGGTGGTGGTGTTGATAGTCATCCGACAACGGTGGTGTTTTATGTGGTTGGATGCGACGGTGGTGGTGGTGTGTTGTGTGGTTGGATGCGGCGATGGTGGTAGTGTTTTGTGTGGTGATGACGGTGTTTTGTGTGATGGTGGTAGTTGTTGTTACGATGATGGTGTTTGTATTGGTTGTCGTAAGGCCGTGGTAGTGATGGCGACGGCGGGGTGAGGGTGGTCAAAAGCGGCTGAAGTGGTAGTGCCAGTGGTA